TTTACATATAGGTCCCTTATTTCCTCAAATTTCTAATTGCTCCCTTTTTTCTTTATATTCTTGCATTTAACTCCCTTATGAAGCAAATTAATGATGTACTTGGCTCACTAATTAATTATCCTAATCCTTGACATCAATTACTCTCTAATGTACTCAGATATTTTTTCATAATAGTGTGTGTATATATATATATATTATATTTTTATTATTATTATTTTTCTACTCTTAATTCTAAAAATATTAGTAATAATGCTAAACATGCTAATATGATCCATATGGATGCATTTATGTGAATTACATGGGTGCTAGATACGCATGACCAACTTGGTTGGGAATGTGACATCAAGTTCATTGAGTTTAACTTGTTTTTACTAAGTCTAACATTTGTATTTATTGGGTGTATTTTTTTATGAGTTGTAAGATATGCATTTGTAATGGAGACATACTGTGTCTATAAACTTAAGCACTAGAATTTGGCCAAATCTGCTTGGTTTGCCTGTCCGTCCTTCACTCCATCTATCACCACTGTTTTCCATTTTTTTAAAAAATTGATTAGCGCGCTTGCCTGCACGTTCTCCTCCGGGGTGTTCTTTCGAGACATTGTCTCTGGTAAAGGACTTCATATTCTTTTTCTTCAAACAACAGATAATAAAAAGCTTTTGTTGCATGAATTATACTACAAGGAAATAAAAGAATCTTTCAAGCTAATACTATAGAATTAATTTGACTCCACCAATAAGGAGAGCGGTAAAGGCACTCTCCACCTTGTTAGAATCAGAAGTGTAAAATAAAATCATCATATTTGTTAAAAATTAGAAATACAATTGAAGCTTTTCAAGTGACAGATTTTGCTTTATCATCTCGATTTCTTGATTCTGATGTTATGTTTGAAATCTTTCATGCGGAAGCAATGGAATAAATTTTATTTTGAGGCTGGTTTACTTGTTGGTACAATACTCATCAAAATACTTGACGGAGTCAGGCATAATATAAGGAACACAAAAAAATTAATGTCAAAATCCAAACCTTGAAGAACTGTCACTCTTATCTTGGCAGTAAAAAGTTTTTTTTTTTTTTTTTGGGTATTTACTCCGGTATGATTAACTGAAAAAGCTGTATAAAATGCTTAACGTTTCCTGAACCTAAACTACATAAACCCATGGAAAAACATATCCACCGAACCCACGTCAACTTGTCACAAAAAGGCTCCACATATTACACTTGGGGAAAAAGAATACTATGGACCCCGCCGGTAATACATCTGCAATGATTTTGTGGTTCTAATTTTCTCCTTTTGGCTCAAGCACTGAATGCCAAGACGAATATTGTCGAGAGCAAAGAATTGCAATGCTAGGGAAATACTTGCAATCATAGCTAACGGATGGGATGATACTCTGCCAATATTTTTTCGGGAAACTTTCGCATGAGGTAAGGACAAGAAACTGGGCCAAAACGTGGGCCACTTGACGAGCAACCTCATGGACTTCTCCTAGTTCATTTGGACTTTTTTCAGACATAACTATTCGAGCTCTAAAATCTCGAACTACCAAGCTGCTTCTGGCCATGCCGCTAATGAAGCTGACGGACCTAGCGACGATCGTTGCGGAGGACAGTCGACCAGAAGCGAGAGGTTTTTTTCGCGGCAGGGAGAACTGCTGGTAAGGAGACTGGAACTTGCGAGCATGAGGCGGGTGCTCTTGGTGTTCGTAAATTAGATATATCCCTCACAAGTGAATAAGAAGAAAGAGGAATTAGGGAACTCTTTCTGTTTTTCCTCTCTTCTCTTCTCTCTCTCTCTCTAATCTGCATGTTTTATGGATTTTTTTTGAAGTTTGAATTTCAAATTTTGATTTACTACTGAAAGTATACTCAGTTAACCGATTAAGAGATTAAGAACACTGGTTGAACCGTTTATTTGACGTTAGACACTGCTCATATCAATAAAAAACAGTTATGTGTCTCACTTTTTTTATTTTTAATTATTTATAAAATAATTTAATATTTAATATTATATCTATAAATTTTTTATTATTTAATTAAATATAAAATAAAAATAAATATACAAAAATTATACACATGCCTCGTTTTTATTGGTCTGTTAGTTATTATCTACCTACAAAATAAACACCTATTTTAAATATAACCATGATTGGAGGTCACGTGGAAGGGCAAACGAAAACAAAAAGTAAAATCATGTATCCGCTCACTGTTAAATGAAAATTTATAAAATAAAAAAGAAAAAGAAAAAGAGAAAATACACGTGGTAGCAAGCTTGGTTTCTGCCCAAGTGACGCAGCGCCCAGCGTTAAACTAACCAAAGGCCAAAGGCCATTCCAGCATAATATCCTGGAAAATCATGCACAGAAATTTGTTCCTTCTTCACGCACCGTCACGGCAGTTATCCAATTTATTTCCCTCTCCTCTCCTGAGCATCATAAAACATCCAAATATTCATTCCAAACGCCGCTTTCTTCTTCACTTCTCGTCCTGTTCTCTGATCTTCTAACACAGTTGCATCACCAATGGCCGACGAAATAGTTCTACTCGACTTCTGGCTAAGTCCATTTGCGATGAGGGTGAGAATCGCCCTGGCGGAGAAAGGGCTAGAATACGAGTCCAGAGCAGAGAACGTCTTGAACAGCAGCGATCTTCTCTTTGAGATGAACCCTGTTCAAAAGCAGATACCAGTTCTCATTCACAAAAGCAAGCCCATATGCGAGTCCCTCATAATTGTAGAGTACATAGATGAGGTGTGGAAGAACAAATCTCCTTTCTTGCCTTGTGATCCTCACCAGAGAGCTCAGGCCAGGTTCTGGGCCGACTTCGTAGAGAAGAAAGTGAGTTTTCACTTGCATGTTTGGTACTGAATAATTTGAAAGTCCCTGCTCAGCTTCCACAAGTTAAACTTTCAACAAAATTTTTCTTGACAAAATTTGGAATTTCTGGAGACCAGAATCAGAAGTACCCTGGAGCAAAAAGGGCAGATTCTTACTAAAAATGCTTCTGCTTTTATGGCGTCGGTCCTTTAGCTATGGACAAACTGAGTTCTGAAATTTTTTCCGTAATTATAGAAGCTGTAAGCTGTCATAAAAAGGGATCAGAAAGTTAACTCGAAGTATATGCTCAAGTCTATTTTCTCATGAAAATGCAGACATAAAAGCTTAATTTTTTATGGGAGATGGGGTTTGAGCTCTTATGACATGGGACTAAACTCACATATTCTATGCCTCAAAAGAAAATTAAATATTTCTCCGCATGGGTAATATTGATTCTGTTTTTGTTTGTCTGCTTAACTATTACGTATATATGTTCCATACAGGTCTATAGCCTTGGGAGGAAGATGTTGGCTTCCACAGGGGAAGCCCAAGAAGCAGCAAAAAAGGAGCTTATAAGCTGCTTTAAGCTGCTGGAAGGAGAGCTTGGAGAAAAGCCATACTTTGGAGGAGAGAGCTTTGGGCTTGTGGATTTAGCTCTCATCCCATCTTACTGCTGGTCCCTTTGTTTTGAGGAGTGTGGGATGAACATGGCCGGGGAGTTTCCAAAGATTTTTGCTTGGGCGGAGAGGTGTATGGACCGAGAGAGCGTGGCCAAGTCTGTCCCTGACCGGCACAGAGTCTACGCTTTCCTTGTGGAGCTCAGGAAGAGGCTTTCCACTGAACATTAGTCGGCTGGTATGTGGTTGACGTTGCGTGCTGCACCCGCCAACAATAATCCTGGGATGTGTGGGCCATAGGATGAGTGAGGCTGTCATATACAAACGGGTGATGCGACCTAAAAAAAAATCATAGGCGTGTTTGGCTGCACCTAAACCCCGTGAGGTGAGGCTGTCGTCAACAACGGGTTATGCGACCTAAAAAAATATGGTGGGTTTAAAGACAGTAAGACAGTATTGGTTGAGACGTGATAAGTAAGTCAAATAATTGTCTTATGTGTTAATTGTTTAATAATATTGTTTTATTAGAGTAGCATTTAACATTAAATTCGCAAAAAATAATTTTAATGGTGTGTTTTGCTGCAACTAATCCCCGTTTTTACTGAACTTACCTTTTTAGCTTTCATTTCTTCACGTTTTGCCTCATCCTATAATTGCTCTCTCTTTCGTTTTTCTGAAATAAAGAGGAGGTCTTGGTTTCTGTAAATAGACGTTTCCTTCTGTATGGACTGCTGCTTCCTCCACATGAGTCATAATGTTTGTGCTGATTAAGATTTATTAGTAATTTGGTAGTCTAACTAAAAAATTCTCTCTATTAAATTGCTAATAAAGGCATAAAATACCTGGAATTTCAAAAAATACCACGAAATTAGCCGATTAGTTTTGATTCTAAACTGCTCATTTCCTGATTAGAACTTGTAAACTAGTCTGGTTCACAGGTTCAACCTTGCAAGACTTTATTTGAATTTATGATTTTTTTCTTATTTTGTAAAATAAAAATAGTTATATTTCATAGGAACATATCGTGGAAACAACCAAAAAAAATTACAAACTTTTTTCAAAATATATTCAAATAATAAAGACAAAAAATTCAAAATAATATCATTTCTATGATTTGTATAAAATATATATAAATTTACTAAAAGTACGAGAAAGTGGTACTTATAATTGTGAGTGGTATTATTATAATTAAATAAAAATTATTTTAAACTTTTTTAGAATTTCCTTTAAATATAAAATTACCCCACAAGAAAGATTCTTCAGCCAAAACTAAACTTGAACTATAAGAGTGTTTGCAAGAGTTTTTTCAAAGTGATTTTGGGTTTTTCAATGTACATAACTACTTTTAATGTGTTTTGAAATCTATTTTTAGATTGCACTTCTATTAATTTTTAGAAGCCGATTTTAAAAATATTGGGAAGAGATACTTCTGGATATGAATAGTATTATTGTAATTAAATATAAACTATTTTAGACTTTTTCTAAATTTCTTTCAAATTTAAAATTACTCCGTGAAATTTGCTCAAAATTTCTTAAGTTTTTTCAAAAATTTTCTCCCAAAGTAAATTATAAAATTTACATCCCAAATATCAATTCTACTACTTTAAAAAAATTTTATAATATTTTTACAAATATACCTAACTCACTTATATTGCTATAATTTTCAACTTCCGATTTCTTACAAACATTTACAAAATACTATCTAAATAAAATTCAACTTATTCCTAAATTTAAAAAAATATTAGAAATTATCTAAATGGGCCAAAGAGAAAAACACTAGGAAAAACAAAGGCAAAAGTCCAATAAAAAGCCAATGAATGCTGTTGGCTAGTTGTGACTGATACTCAAATAGTACTCAACTATAAGTTTGTCCTAACATTTAACGTTTTAAAACTATTAGGTGGAGTTGGTTGTATCTTATTTATTACAAAAAGATATATAATTTTTAAAAATTAATAAATGCTAAATATATGTTAATATAATTTATTAAAATGTTCAAAAGTCATATATTTTAAATTATATTGATTTAATGCGAAACTACTATAAATAAATGGTGTTGTACTACAATAATAAATTTTATAACACAAGAAGTGGGGCCAGGAATGTTTAAGTGGACAAAGAAATAAAATTGTTATAAATACGAATATGTATAAAATATTTAAATAGATAAAGAAAAAAATATCATAACAATCTGTACAAAATCATGGCGCTTGAATTGACAAGAATGGCCTCATTCAGCCCATACCACTAGATGGAAAATGCCCCGCTAAGAACAAAAGGAACACAAACAAAAGTGCAATAATGGCAGGAAAAGGCCAAACATTCCGCTACAGGTCAAGGCCAAACTTGCTCTTTTGTTGTATTCTATTCTATAGAAATTTAATTTTTTTTTTCAAAAAACTTCAGAATGATATTTATGTAAAATTAAAATAAAGATGGCCTTAATCAGAAGTATTTTATTTTTCTTTTTTCTAGTGAAAAAACCATTAACATAAATATGAAACATGTGATTATCACATTAATATTGGTCTAATATAAGAGTACCTAGTCTCGTATCTCACGTGAAGAAGTGATACGTAAAACTCACATTTTCACACGAGAAGTGAAAGTATGAGGCACATTTAAGAAGACCCTATTGCACGCGCATTAGTCCTGGTCTACCAAACAGTCTTCTTAGTTCTTCACAGCTTGTGTTTAGGATCTGATAAACATAGCTGATGAAGTAATTCTCCTGAGTTTTTGGCGAAGCCCATTTGGGTTGAGGGTGCAATAGCCTTGGAAGAGAAGGCCTCAATCCGGTTCACAAGAGAGTCCCTGTGCCAGTACATTATATAGAGAAGAAGATGGGTTCTAGTTTTTCATATATGGTTGATATAAGCCACTACCAAAATTACAGGTCTATAATAATTTTATTAATTAAAGATATATTTTTTGGATCGTTTTACGTAAAGCAATTTTTTTAGTGCAAGATTTTCAGTTTTTTTTTTTGGCTTTTTTTTTTTTGAATGAGTTAAAAAGTTAATAACTTTTTTTTTGTCGAAACCACCCATATCTGAGAATTTACTAGACTCTGACTAATTTAATTTGAGCTAGCTGAGATATTATAACAATGGCAGAGCTTTCTCAATAAGGACATTTGCGTACTTAAGATTTGAATGTGAAACCTTATTTAAGATGAATAGAGTACCTTGTTGGATAATTAAACTTGATTTGGCCCATATAATATTGGACTTAGTTTTTAGGTCTCACATAAATTCGCTATATTAGAGCCCATAAGCCCAAATTCTAAAAACATTTTATCTATAATAGTTTTGAGAAAATATCTACCTTTTATCTAGAATAGTTTTGAGAAAATATCTAAATATTTTAGAAAGGAGATAGATATTTTGGTAGAGAATTTTAGAGAAGAAATTGTAACCATAGGATGAGAAATGCGTTGGTACAATCCTAACCATTCATTGTGGATATGCTACTAGTATAAATAGAGGTGAGTCTTTCATTTTGTATGAAACCAAATTTGAAAAACAATAAAGAGTCCTCTTGTGTACTACTCTCACTTTTTAAAAATCTTCTCCTCCCAAATATCTCATATCTTATAAAATACCCACTTCCAACATAGTGATATCAGAGCCCTTAGTCATAGGGAGTAATGGCATGCCTTCCTTCTAGGTCCTTATGCTCAATATGAGTAACTATGACAATTGGAGCGTCAAGATGAAGGCTCTCCTTGGAGCACACGAAGTTTGAGAGTTTGTAGACAAAGACTATGATAAGCCAAAAGATGAGGCATCGCTATCCCAACAACAAAAGAATAGCTTAAGAGATTCAAGAAAGCTCTCTTCCTCATCTATCAAGCATTAGATGACGATGGTTTTGAGAAGATTTCAAGTGCAACATCAACCAAAGAGATATGAGAAAAGCTCCAAATCTCTTACCAAGGAGCAAAGCAAGTGAAAAATGTACGTCTCCAAACACAAAGAGGCGAATTTAAAGCTTTACAAATGAAAGAGTCTGAGTCTATTTCCAACTATTTCTCTAGAGTCTTGGCAATTTCCAATCAAATGAAAGAAATGGTGAAAAGTTAGAAGATGTAAGAATAATGGAGAAGATATTACGTTCATTAGATTCTAAATATGAACATATAGTTGTGACAATTGAAGAAACAAAAGACTTGGATAAGATGACTATTGATCAACTAATGGGGTCTTTGCAAGCATATGAAGAAAAGTATAAGAAGAAGCAAGATATTGTGAAACAACTTCTTAAAATACAAGTCCACTCAAAGGAGAAAGAAAAAGCCTTGATAATGAATGTACTCAATATGAAAAAGGTCGTGGTCAAAGATAAGGTCGAGAATGAGGATGAGGACAAGGACAAGGCTATGGACATGGAGATTTCAACAACAGTAGAGATAGAAGAGAAAGTTCAACAGGAGGACTAGAAAACAACTCAAGGTATAAAAAATCTCAAACCAAGTGCTTTAAATTGTCAAAAGTTTGGTCACTACACTTCAGAATGTAGAGCTCCTAAAAACAAAAATAGAAGAGAATGTTAATTATGTCAAAGACAAGAATCAAGAAGAAGCCACTCTATTAATAAATGACAAAACAACATATAGTACCTTGACACTAGTGCAAGCAACCATATGAATGGAAAAAAAAACATTTTTGTAGAGCTTGATGAGTCAATAAGTGGCAACGTTTCCTTTGGTGATGAGTCAAAAATTCCAGTAAAAGGTAAAGGTAAGATTTTAATTCGCTTGAAGAATGGAGAACATCAATTTATTTCTAATGTTTACTATGTGCCCAACATGAAAAATAATATCCTGAGTATTGGAAACTTTTAGAGAAAGGCTATAATAATCATATGAAAGATTATAGTTTAACTCTAAAAGATGGGAAAAATAATTTAATCACCAAAGTGCCCAACATGAAAATAATATCCTGAGTATTGGAAACTTTTAGAGAAAGGCTATAATATTCATATGAAAGATTATAGTTTAACTCTAAAAGATGGGAAAAATAATTTAATCACCAAAGTGCCAATGTTAAGAAATAGAATGTTCGTGTTAAATATTTAAAATGAAGTTGTAAAATGTCTAAAGCTTGTTACAAAGATACATCTTGGCATTGGCATCTTCGATTTGGGCACTTAAAGTTTGGTGGATTAGACTTGTTGTCAAAGAAAGAGATGATGAGAGGATTACCCTCCATCACACACCCCGATTAACT